CAGACCCCTGTTAAAGCCTATAGTCCTTCAAAAGCATTTCAATGGGATCTGGAAAAAATATAAAACCCAGCTGTTGGAAAAAATACATCAAATCTGTCTGGTGCGTGTGGCCTTGTAAAGTTTGAAAGTCACCCCGAGTTCAGCTAAAAGACCTCTCTTATCAAAATGGAAATGGAAAAGCTAACCCTGCCAATGAAAAGCTGAACACTGACAAAACCATGGCTTTTAAAAGTCCTATACTACATAAAATTGATTCCTGTGAACTTTAAGTCATTTAATAATGTTGTTACCTAATCAAAAACATACCTGGAGTTGTGCTTTGTTTCATTCAGTAATCTATTCTCTATTCTTAGTCTGCCTTCATCTCCAGTGCTCAAAATGTTCCACCTTGTGATGTCATGAACCAATAGTTTTCAAGTTAACAGCTACATTTAATCATCTAAATCATCTACATCTAAATTCAACAGAAATCTGAGATTCCAAGGCTGAAATTATCCAAACGATTCTAGTGAAGTGTCCAGAGTTCAAAAACACAGTGGAGAACTTTCTGTATTACGAGTGTTTTCAGTTTGAGAGAAAAATTCTCCTAAATATGCAGGGTTTGTGTGTTAAACGTGTGAATGAAACGAAACACAACTCCAGGTCTGTTTGTAACAAGGAAACAAGATTATCAAATAGATCATAAAACAGAATATATGAGCCCTTTAATGGTTGATCTTGATTTGGTGGTTAAGGGCCTTGTACTATGTTAAGTACTATTCCGTTCTATGCTGTATGAACGTTGAGTTTGTTTTAATGTTCTTTCATCATAAACTTATTTAGGTGTGGCCAGTCTGATATCAAAACACTGTGGCATATACATTCTGTCTTCTTTTCCATAGTTCAAAACTCTGCTTCACCTGCTGATGTCATGAGGTGTGTTTTGACCTGAGTTTTAAAAGTCCATCTTCACTGGGATCATCCTGTGTGTCTTTGTATACATTTGCATACATTTATAAATCCTGTTTACTGGCAATGCATGTGAAATCTATAAGCAGATCAAAACTGGTTTGGTTTGTAATTCATCAATGTCATAATGAACATTTTCTTCTAATACTAATTAGGTTTAATACAGAAAAAGAACGGTTAGTCATCCTTGTTTTTATACACTAGCTGTTTTTTTTTCCAATAAATGTTTCCACTGTAAAGCAAAAAGATGAACTGACTTAGTGCTATTTGAAATAATGGTGTTGAATCAGTGATAATGAGGTGACATTTACAAAAAAAAAAAAAAAAAAAGAAATTTCAGATGATTGAGAATTTCATAAAACTATTTTGGCATTTATGACTTTTCTTCATTCAATGAACTGAATTCACCCCACAGCTTAGAGTCACACACAGCAGTAAGTACTGTAATGACATCTGTGTTATTAATGGGCTGAAGGAATTCTAAAATACCAGAGTAACTCAATTCAAATGTGTTGTGGAGACAAATGAAGATCATAATACTTAAACTGATGCTTGCAGTCAGTGGATTTTAAGAGACTTTTGGATGAAGTGTAAAAGCAGGGCAAACAAAAAGTGTTGGTGGAGAAAACTCAGAGGGGTGTTCTGTCTGATCTGGGAAACTTACAATGTTCAATGACATGCTCATAACATAATGTGATTTCAATTGAATATAATCACATTCTTCTTATTAAACTGAAATGTGTTTAGTATCATTTAAGACAACATTTATTTAATGACATTTGTAACCCCATCAGCACTGACAAAATATGTATAAATATATTGTCTAATCACCTGGGGTCAGATAGCACACTTTCTCCAAAAGAACTTACACTTGTAAAGTAACACACATAAATTAGAGTGAAATGAACACAAAACAACACTACACCACAACAAAATAAACCAAGCCAGGCACCTGGGTTCATTCAGATTTTTTAATTTTCTGATATTTCCATCACAAAGCCTCCGGGACAAAAACTCACATTCAAACTCTGAAGGCTTATTTCTTGAAAAATAATCTTGTACCTTTAATCTTAGTGCTTTGACCCCGCCCCCTGCTTCCTTTGAGAGAGGAGATGATTGCGTTTAGCCGTGTAGCCTCCGTTTGGGCCTGCTCTGATAAATGACTCTGTCCATCACTGAAGGGGACCACACAGATAACCCAGTTGTCCATCATCCCTTTGTCAAAGTCCACCGCGGAGATTGGTTATTGACCCGGGGTGACTTTTTCCATATGACACATCTGAAGACCCTGCCACTGAAACACAATAGTCTGGAGACTGGAGACAAATATAGCGCTTTTTCCACTCTGGAGGACTGGATACAAGAGAAGGATTTAAAGCTGCACTGTGTAACTTTCTGGAAGGGTCCACCACCTGCTTGTCTTCATGGAAATGTTATTGCTTTGTCTAGAATGTCCTTAAGACTGTCCAGATACTTTCACTTGTGGGTCAATAAAGTTTAAAGTGTAAGTCCCTCAGTGTGACATTACACTATTTCCATGAAGACAAGCACACAAGGCCTACAAGCCAAGTTACAGGTCAGGTCTGTGGAGAGATGAGGTCACTCACTGTAGAAATGCATGTTTTTTTGTAGTATTTTTGAGCAGTAAATCACCTGTAATTGAATAAATGCAACATAGATGAGTTTACTGTGAATATTTTCAGTCAAACTAGTATCTCCGCAGAAACAAGTTCGTGATGCACTCCTTACCAGAAAAGTTCCAAAGTGCACCTTTAAAGTGCATATGACAGGTTTTCATGTTTGTTTTTTTTACTTGGTTTTGGTGGAATAGTATTTATGTAAAATATTTATCATAGTTTTACATCAGTGAAGAAAGTTGAAAATTACAGGAATAACAAAAATACACAAAATGCCATGCAACATTTTTGAACAATTTACCCACAAGGACACATTTCTAACTGTATTTTCATTTGTCTAGTTATATTGAGTAAATTAAATACGCTCTGACCCTTGTTTACACAGTATGGTTGCTAGAAATCACGGAAAAACCTCTATGTATGAAATATCTATTGCCCATGTCCAACCAGAAAGTAAAATTATAGACTTCACAAAAATGTTCAAACATTGCATTGTGTAACTTTTCAGGTGGGGGTCCATGAATGCTTGTTATCGCTTTGTCTGGAATGTTTCACAGTATGGCATTAAACCTGTCTACTTTCATGGAGATCAAACCAGACCAAGTTACAGGTCAGGTCTTTGGAGAGACAACCCCACTCACAGTCAAAATCCCTGTTTTTATAAGTATTTTTGAGCTATAATACCACCTTTAATTAAATAAACGTAAGGTAGAGCTGTTTAATGTCATACTGTGGAACATTCAAGATATTCATAGAAACAAGCAGGTGACGGACCCCCAACCAAAAAGTTACATAGTGCATCTTTACATATGTTAACTACGTTTTAGTGAAATTTCTAGTCTAACCTGTCATATGCACTTTAAAATGTAATGACTAAATAAACTCTTCTCACTTGACTGACATGATTTTGGTTTGGCACTTTTGGCACTCCTTTAGACCACTGCAGTCCAGTAGCTACGGGTGCTATATTTAGGAATTTCTGGAATTTCACTGACGCAGAATTTGTGGAATACAGTAAATAATGTGTGTTATTAACATTACCTGTCACAAGTCTCAATGACATGCATGAAACAATAACAAAACAAGTTGAACAGAACAGAACCACTTTGATGCAGACAAGCAAAATTTAGACTCTTTTCACTGTGCATTAAGAAAACAAAACAGAGGAAGCTGTAACAGGGATTTTCAAATGACCTGACCGGCCAGAACCACACGCTTTGTTAAAACTTTACAAATATGAGTGGATCTGTAGCTCTATCCTGTCTCCCTGATTCCAAAGGGCATGATTGACAGTCAGATTAACCAATCAGAGAGAGGCATGTTCTGTGCACTTCAAAAACAAACATGGGAAAGAGGAAAAAAAACTACATAAAGGACTGAGAAACAGAATGAATTTATTACAGAATCAACAATGAAAGCACCAAACTATTATTTATCTCAGGTATAACAAGTTATACATTTTGCTCTGTATGTTAGGAGAATTTTGGAGAGGAGATGTCTTTCGCTAGCCAGGTTGATGCCACCTAGTGTCTCCACTCAATTTCATTTCTCTCTAGTGACTAGGTCAGGAATTAAAATACACTAGACGGTTTGCAAGAACCCCGGAAGTTGTAGACCGCGCACCGGCCAATCAGCGAACAGCTGTGAAGCCATGACGTCAGACTCAAGCGCCTGTATGGGTCCCTTTTGTGGTACAACACAACAGTAAACAAAGTGGTCGAGATGGATGTACACGAAACCATACATTCTGTGTTGGCAATGATTCTCAAGATTGAGGATTTAAAGCTGGAACAAAGAGAATGTTTGGTGAATTTTATCAAGGGGAAAGACGTTATTGCCCTTCTTCCTATGGCATTTGGCGCCTTAGATACGTCACGACCAAATAGCAGCGATTGGCTTAAATAAAAAAAGTACCCGTCTACTGATGAGCGAATGAATCCTAATGCTGCGAGGTCACACGATTTCCATGAGGTGAACCCGACTGATGGATCAGGCTAGTCTTGCACATTTGAGAGACACGTGCTGCAAATTAGCAGCTGTGGTTGGACTGTCTCAAGTTTGGATGGGGTATTCTCCTCCTCTATTGACTGGTTTCTCTCCCTTTTGAATTTGAACAGAATGTAAAAGGGACTGGCTGGTCAGGCAAGGTTTTAAATGCAATTGTTTATGCCAAATTGGAATTTTCAATTCTGTTTCTTGTGAAAAATATATATATATATATATATATCATAGGTGACTTTAAAACCAAACAGTCTCTGGTCTACTTCACCTCTCATGCCGTATCCACCACTGATATGACTTTCTGAGATGGCGCTCAAATGGTTAACCCAAATCTAGCACAGCTCCATCCAGTTTGGGCAAGTGTCCCTTTTACAGCTCTACTGCCCTCCTCTGGGCTGGTTCCGGGTCCAGTCACTATAGACAGTCTCGGCACAGCGCCACCTGTCCCTGGCGGAAGTCCCTGCAGGGGCACAGACGCCTGTACTTGGGGGAGTGTCCTGCACAGCTGAACAGCAGTGGTTCTCTCTGTAGACCACACTCTCTCCGCGTCACAGAGAAGGCAGGCAGGATGTGATTCATCTCAGAGTCCACCACCTCACACTGCACCTCCAGCCTGGAAACAGATTCAAAAAACATATTCAAATACAATTCATCTTTTAAACTCAATACCAGTCTGTGCTATGTAAAGATATTAAATATTGTAAAAGGCCATCTTAAGAATGTAGAATGGAAAAAAAATGATTCAAGTTTTAAATGTGCATTGTGTAAACTTTTCTGGTGGAGGGTCCGTTAAATGCTTTTCTGTGTGAACATGTTATTGCTTTGTCTGGAATGTTTCACAGTATGGCATTAAACTTTTCTATCTTCGTGACCAAACCTGACCAAGTTACAGGTCAGATCTCTGGAGGGAGTGCCTGTTCTTCTAGGTATTTGTGAGCAATAAAACCACCTGTAATCAAATAAATGTAAGGTTGAGCTGTTTAATGTCATACTCTATAAGAATATAGAACAGAATGTAACCTCATGGAGATGATGTTACATTCTCTATGTAAATTGTGCCTATGTTCTGTTTGTAAGAGACAAATTTTGGCTCATAACTTCACAGGACACTGGTGAATACACACAAACATGGAGAGCTCGGCTACTTTCTCAGAGGATGATGCCCATCTCTACAATGAGGACTTTGACCTGGAGGCTCTGGTCTGCCCTACACCAACAGGGGGCATTTAAGAGCCAGCAGAGACCCAACTGGTGTCTCCCAACATCCAGTTTTATTTTATTTTATTTTTTTACTTTGTTTAATTCAGATGCCAGCCAGAAAGCATACCGCAGTGGCTTGTTTTTTATGCAAAAATGGATAAAAGGAATGCACTTTAAATATAATGTAATACATGATAAAAAAATATCAAAAGATTAAAATGGAAATGTTAATGCACCTTCTAAACTATGATTTATTGCCTGTTGCAATCAAATATAATGTTTATAAGAGAGAGAGAGAGAGAGAGAGAGAGAGAGAGAGAGAGAGAGAGAGAGAGAGAGAGAGAGGGTGGAGGGAGAACAAGCTGAACAAGATGTCTGAAACATACTGATATTGTAATTAATCATTCAAGTTGGGGTAGGATACTATAAGTTTTTTTTAAAACTTCATTCTACTCCTTTAGTAGCCAGGCTGGTGCCACCTAGTGCCTCTGCTCAATTTCATTTCTCTCCAGCAACTTGGTCAGGAATCAGAATACACTAGATGGTTTGCAAGAACCCTGGAAGTTGTAAACTGTGCACCAGCCAATCAGTGAAGAGCTGAGAAGTCATGACTGGGTCTCTTTTGTGGTACAGCACAACAATAAACAAAGCGGTCAAGATGGATGTAGACAAAGCCATACATTCTGTGTTGGCAATGATTCCCGAGATCGAGAATTTAAAGCCAGAACAAAGACAACGTTTGGTGAATTTTATCAAAGGGAAAGATGTTATTCCCCTTCTTCCTACGGGATTTGGGAAAAGCTTAATATACCAGTTAGTCCTGTTAGTGGAGCATTACATATGTCATGACCAAATAGCAGCGATTGGTTAAATAAACAAAAGTACCCGCCTACCATCGAGTGAACAAATCCTTATGCTGTGAGGGCAGATGGTTTCCACGAAGTGAATCAGGCTACTGCTTTTGAGCACCAGGTCCCAAATATGCATGTGTACATATCCTTTGTTATTGTTGTTGTTGTTATACTTTGCTCAAACAAATAAAAAAATAAAATAAAAAAGTTACTCTGTGTGAGGCTGTATGATAGTATGGTGGTCATGTTATATAATATGTGCCCCACCCAACCAACACTGATTTAATGACTTCAGCCCCTGCTCCAATTGAGTTTGAGAGCCCTGACTTAAACCATAATGAACAAACAGTTAATTAACAATGATTTAGGCTTAGTCACTGTTCATTCCTTTGTGTGACAAATCCAGAGTGAAATCACTCTGTATTTTTTTTATACAGATTGATATCAGTCTGACCTCCACACACTCCATTGCATCTCAAGCCTTGACAAACGTGATCATGTACAATCAAATTTGTCTTTGTTCAGTGACACATGTGAAATGAATAAGGTCATTGGTTGAATACATTTAATTAAAAAATGCAAACTATAAAACAAAAGTCATGTCTCAAATAATGTTGCAAGAGCACTCACAATCAACATAATAGATAGATATGCAAAAGCCATAGAGCTTCACATTTACATGTCCAAAAACGAGTGAGAGGAAGGGGAATTTATTTAATCCTACCCCCTTTCCTAATTATAACTCAAAACCTCCAGTTTCCTGTTATAGGTTATTAAAAGAAGAGAAAAAAGAGCATTCGAATTAGTACTTTTCACTATTTTTATAATTTGTCAATGCCATTTCTTTGTATTTCTTCTTAAATGTTATTATGCTTGAACATTGATGCAAATATAGGCACAAATCATTCCACAGTCAAACACGAGAGACCAGAGTCCCCTGTGATATGTTTTTCCTTTATCTTTTGTGATACGAAGGACCATGATGTGTCCCAGATTGGCTAATGCACCTGTCAATCATGTCCATCTGAAAATGGGGAGATTCACCAGTGACCAGACTCACATTTTTGTAAAGAATTGAAGAAGAGTGGATCCCAGCTTGTTCCTAACACCTAATCCTAACCCCTTAATTTAATGTAGGAGTTACTCAATAAACTACTAGTATTTATTAATTATGAATGTAACCTTTCTTCATGCTTTATTAGGTATAAGTTATTATTAAGTATTTCCATGATAAACACACTTAAGAGGCTACAAGTCCTACAATAAGTGTCACTAGTGGTCAGCAGGGCCATTATTATGATTAAGTAGTGACAAATATTAGAAGACAGTCCACTTAGCCACACCAGTGCAGTACTTTATACAGAACAGAGGATAATAAAGTGAAAAGTAATGTGAAATTTCAGTGGAATAAAAAAAGAAACTATGCCACAGGTGAGAGCTCTCATGTGTGTCACGGTTTAAACAAGAGTGCGCGGTGAAGTTGGAAGACGAGTGAAGCAGGTATGAGGCGTTAAAGAGGAAGAGGATGAGAGAAGACAATGACAATAAAGGCAACTGTAAACCCACATACGCACACGCACACACACACACACACACACGCTCATGCATGAACACACACGGACACGCACGTACACACTCACGCACGCACTCAGGATGAAACTAGTGCAGAGAATAAAGTCAACAGGGGAGGAACTGTTCAGTGTTTGAGGCTCAAACTCTCTGTTCCCTGCAGAGTGCGGCAACCCACAACTCAGTTAATACATGTCTCACCTTTTCAAGCAGCTTTGTGATGGGATTTCATACAGCAAAGTGTTGAATGCATTTTGATTTTAAAGAGTCTATGCTATATTTCTAATCTATGTTAAAATGTTGTTTTCTTATCATAAACATATCTGGAGTTGTGTTTTGTTTCAGTCACATGTTTAATGCACAAATCCTGCATATTTAGGCTGAGTTCTTCTCTCAAACCTTTTGATGTCATGAGGTAATACAGGGAGTACTCCACTGCGTTTTTACATGCCAAACACCTTCACTAGAACTACGGTGACGTTAAGTGAAATAAAGGTAAAAAAGGTTAAAGATAGCTGAAAAAAAGGTTAAAGATAGCTGAAAACGACCACTTCATGACATTACAAGGTGGAACAGAGTATTTAAAGCTTTGGAGACGTAGACAGACAAAACCACAATTACTGATACATGTGTGAATGAAACAAAACACAACTCAAGGTATGTTTGTGAGGAGATAACTGCATTATAATATGGATAAAAGCTCACAAGAATCTTTTGTGTAATGTAGGACCTTTTAGATTATACGCAAATATTGCATGGGGCTAAATACTAGGTCTGTCAGTGTAAGAATTATATTGATATTGTTCTAAAATGTTCACTAAAATGTTCACAATATTTATCCTGTATACAGTTTCTTTGTACTAGTGGGGAAGATTTGAGCTGCAGAGGTTCAAATAAGTTACTTCTATAAGTAATTATACTACAACTAAAGTTATATTCTGCTTTGTTTCTTGCAACTCAGTAGTTTGATATTTTTGTAGCACTTCAAAATGTATTATTGTAACAGGCCTTGATAATCCTTTGATCAAATCTGAAATAAGATCAGTCAGAAAAGTGTAGCTCTGTAGACAGGAGAGCATGGAGCGTGACTTCAGTGATTAAGAGCTTTTACCTGCCGCTCATGTGCCAGTGTGGGGCCCGGCAGGACACGCTGTGAACATCTGCATGGTAAAAGAACTGATGGAGATTTGACAGGAAAATGAAATGGTCGCACTTTAGAGTAATGCCATGGTAACAGGAAAGAAATGGAATAGGATAATGCATTTTGAAGATATGTGTGCATATTATTACCTAGAATACTAACCATGTTTCCTGGTCCAGCTTTATAGCCATACAGCCTTCTCTAATACATTTGCGATCATTCATTTTTCACTCGTAATATTTTATAACAAAAATCAATGCCTACACAGCTCTGTATCAGTGAATGAAAGCATGAAGAAATACTTCATAAACTTGATGAACTAATAGTTTATTAAAAACAGTTCAGGTATAATTACTGTTTAACAAATTGAACTACTTTGGGTATTCATTAAGTAGTTACTAAACTAGAATAATTCTTAATAAACATTTTGTTTAACATGAATCAAGTATTTTCTAATGCTTTATCAAGGCTATTAAAAGTGTAGTTATTACAAGGTTACCATAGATTGTATACAGAAGTGGACAAAGGGAGTGTGATGTCACCCATAGCTTTTGGCTCCACTCAGATGAAGGTCACGAGGCAGTTACAGGAAAGATTTTGGAGCCAGGTTAATAGGAATTTATTTGTAGACAAAATAGATAAATAAAAACACCAGAATAATGTAGTGTGGGTTAATACGGACATTTTAATACCAAAATGACTCACTTCAGCACTTATAGAATGAGGAGCGACAATTTTTCAATGTAAAGTCAACTGGAGCCAGAGTCGATAGAGTCGGAAGCTCCCCCATGTTCACTTCCTTTTTGGAACGTGGCAGCTAGCAGGTTAGTCCATTTACATATACAGTCTATGGGTGTTACCAATGTTTGTAATTTAAAATGCAAATGTATTATTAACTGTAATGCAAGCTATTCAGTAGTGATGAGAGCAGTGGAGTACTCACGCGTGCAGAGCTTCTTTGTTGTTGATGTAGTGGAAGTGAGCAGGCTCACAGATGAAGCCTGAGCTCTGACAGGCCTCCACACACGACTGTCCCTCCTGTGACACGAGCAGACGGAGCGAGCTCAGGGGGGGCCAGACCGTAGGTGCGGTCACGTTCAATGCCCATCCCAGCGCCGTGGAGTTGGACAGGGGCACGAACACAGGGCCCTGCCGCCTGCTCCCACCAGCTGTCCCCTGTCTGGACAGGTTAGCCAGGACGAAGGGGTGATCAGGGGCACAGAAGTCCTGCAGGTGTCAGAGGCATTTAGTGTACAGAGTAACAAGATACTCACTAGAATACACACATGCCCTTATTTGATCATATTTTCTACCAGTGGTATAGATACTGGTGCAAAAAATACTCAAGTAAAAGTGTTAAAGTACTTTTTGAAATATGTATTTAAAGAGTAAAAAGTAAAAGTATTCCATGCAGATGTGCTTATAAAGTGTCAAATGTATTGATTTTGATGACTTGTACTGAATTTTCTTCAACAGAAACAACTGAATAGACTTTTTATTCTAGCTGTATTTATTTGTTGTTATATTTTTTTTCTCAAATTATGAACATGCTAATGATAAAGCCACAACCTTTTCTGTAGATCTTCTGTAGACTTACTTAAAAATACTTGTACTTTTCAGTCCTGGTCAAAAAATGTGTAATGTAGTGAAGTAAAAGTAAAAAGTATTCACTTTAAAAGTACAGATTCCTAAAAATGTATACTTAAGTACAGTACTTCAATACTTTAACTTTGTTACATTCCACCACCATATTCTACTGTTATTTTTCACTGTTTAATACCAAAGCAAATGATTTTGTTCACTGATAATGGCAATAAAACTTGTTTCTGATTCAGATTATTCTCTAAAAGGTATTTAAATTATTATTGAGCTGTTTCATTTATCATTGCTGAGTGTGTTGTGATCTGGCCTGTGCAAATAATTACATTTGATTCAAGCGGATGTTCAGTCATTGAAACTCTTCAATAACTTAAACCTTTAAAAACTTCAAACCTGGAGCTTTCTTGATATGATCTATGAGCCAATTCTAAAAGCACTTGGTTTGGAGAAGGGTTTAGGTTTTAAAAGAATGCAACTCGATTTCTATACGTTAAACGGCAGAGACATGTTTTGTGTTATAAAATTAATATTAAAAGCCAGTTTTCTTTATATATAAGAATTAAATTTAATGTAATAGAAATTGCAATAAATCAAGACATGTAGGAGTTAAAGGTGCACTGCATAACATTTATACTGGAGGGTCCACTACCTCTTGCTTGTCTACATGGAAATGTTATTGCTTTGTCTAGAATATTCCACAGTATAGATTAAACTATCATGAGGGAGACAAGCAGGTTACAGCACTATGCTACATAGTGCTATATAAATAAAGACTTACTTACTTACTTACTTACTTACTATTACAGTTCAGATCTGTGGAGAGTTGCCCCTATTCACAGAAGGAATCCATGTATTTTTGAGCAACAGAAACACCCGTAATTAATAAATGCTAACTATATGTTTAAAGTCCTGCTATGGAACATTCCAGGCAAAGCAATCAGATCTCCATGGAGACAAGTAGGTAGCAGACCTTCCACCTGAAAAGTTCCAAAGTGCACCTTTAACATCATATAAAGGTTATGCAAAATTGACTTTTCTGAGTGTATACCAATGTTTTTCATGAAAAATATACCTAGAGTTGTGCTTTAAGTAATTATTCAATATTATTATTATGTATTATTATTCAATTCATTTCTATAAGTCTAATCGTATTTTATAATCTAGCTGCTCTCACACATATGTGTGGTCTATAGGCCTATATCATGTCAAGGGTAATGTGTGGTTGCCATGGACACAGCTTCCTCACTGCCATTGCCTCATAGATGAAACTTCATGTGGCAATGACCTTCTTGCTGTTGCACAGCTTGTACTTCAAGATGATGCTTTTACAGTATTGAGCAGACCTTGAGATATAATGCATGAGGAAGCATGAAGAGGTGAAGGAATAAGAAACATGGGAGAGGTGTGCAGAAACTCTGTACAAAGAGTTTAAGTGTGTTCATTTATCAAACAGACCTGATCAATCACACAGAACAGTTTTCTACATCTAGGTCAGATATATGTGGGTAATTGGATGTTATCAAACTTTAGAAGCAGTTCATTTACTATGAGCAGAGTATCAGATGCTTTTGACAGGAGCAGCTGTACTTTATTTATTTATATTTCTTAAAATTGAAAGAGCTAGTGATTTTGGAGTTTGTCATCATACCTCTCATTTTGTTCTGCATTGTGTGTATGAAAAGTGCAATACGAATGAAGCTGAATTGATCTCTTGTAGTTTTGGAGGAAGTACTTTTGGCTTTGGTACATTTCTGTTCAGGGACAACAAAGTATATATAAAGTATATATAAGCACCCATATTAAACTATTTCTGATCTATGTCATAATGTTTCCTCATCAAAAACATACCTGGAGTGGTGTTTTGTTTCATTCACATGTTTAACTCACAAACCCTCCATATTTAGGCTGAGTTCTTCACTCTGTACCACCTTGTGCTGTCATTAGGAAGCTCCACTGTATTTTTAAACTCCATACATCTTCACTAGAATTATTTAGTGAGACAATATTGGAAACTGGGTCACAAAATTGATTAATTAATTATGTCAAAATCACATCTTGTCTCATTCTCATGGGCTCAATCTCATATCTCGTCTTGTGGCACTTGTATCTCATCCCATCCCTACTGCATATGGTCATCATTTATGTTGAAACATATTGCTGATAAATTGACTAAAACCAAAAAATTACAGAAAATGACCCTTCATTGGCTGAACATCTGTTGTGACCAGTTTGGATGGTGGCGGTAGACACAGCAGACACAATGTACAAGCTCTGATGTGACTGTAGTGAGTCTTGTCTTATTCACATCCTCCATCTTGGTCAGAGGCACACTTGTGTTTCTCCTTACTCATCCCTCCTCATTACTGTCAGCGGGCCTTCTGCTCCACGGCTCCAGGCTGAATTTGTAGCTTCTAATGAGCTTAAGCGTGCATTCATCAAAAGTCTGCTTACATACATGTCAGGGGCACACAGTTAAGAGGCCCTAAGCACTGCTGTGGGGGTTGAATGAAACACATGATGAAATATTTAGTACAATAGGGAGAGCCAGGGCACATTGGGAACGTACCTGGTTTTGAATGTAGGCGTGTACTCTCTCCAGCATACCCTCACATGTGTACTCATAAGGCAGATACGGCTCAACCTGGAAATACAAGAACATACAAATCTCAGTCGTGTACAGCTAATTGCTCATTATTCAGAAAAAATACCAAATCAATCCATCCACACATTTCCATTGTTTCTTTAGAAGAACATCCTCATTGTCAAGCCTCTTCAAGGACTAATGCAACTTAATTGTTTTTTAAAAATGTCATTCAATGCATGTGGTGACTGTGGCATTTGCTAACTAACTCTGGTTGCTGTTTGCTATTTTATATTTATACTAGGGATGCACCGATACAGCTTTGTCAGTCCCGATGCTGATTTCAATACTATATCTGCCAATACTCAATATTAACCAATACTAGTACAGAAACTGATAATAGCATTTATTTCCATCCATTCATTTTCTTCCGCTTGTCTGGGGCCGGGTCGCGGGAACTGCAGTCTGAGCAGGGTCTCCCGGAATTCCCTCTCCACACACACACTTCCTCCAGCTCTTCCGGGGGGATCCTGAAGTGTTTCCAGGCCAGCAAACATAGTCCCTCCAGTGTGTTCTTGGTCTTCCCCGGAGCCTCCTCCCGGTGGGACATGCCAGGAACACCTCCCCATTGAGGCGTCCAGGAGGCATCTGGAACAGATGCCTAAGCCACCTCAGCTGGCTCCTTTCGACGTGGAGGAGCAGCGGCTCTACTCCGAGCTCCTCCCGTGTGACTGAGCTCCTCACCCTATCTCTAAAGGAGCACCCAGCCACCCTGTGGAGGAAACTCATTTCCACCACTTGTATCTGCCATCTTGTCCTTTCAGTCATTACCCAAAGCTCATGACCATAGGTGAGGAATGTAGACTGACCAGTAAATCGAGAGCTTAGCCTTTCAGCTCAGCTCCCTCTTCACCACAACGGTCTGATACAGTGACCGCATCACTGCCGACGCTGCACCAAACTGCCTGTCAATCTCACCTCCATCTTCCCCTCACTCGTGAACAAGACCCATGAAGCTATAGAACAACTTTGTGTAAATAAAAGTTCAAACATTATGAGGATCTTATTAGATTCATTTATATGCCAAACCAGGATATTGACTGAACTGATATTTGGAAGACAATGCATCCCTAATTTATCACTCGCTCTCTTCCTCTCTGTCTTCTCATTTACCTGCCTCTCCGGCCCTCCTCTCTTTTCCACTTCTCATTCCTTCTCTCTTTCACTGAATGGGTGGTTGCCAAGCCTGAGTGCAGATCGCCTCCTCAGAAATCTCAAATGGGCCTTCAATATCACTGTCTTCATCCATAATAAAGTAAATTTTACACTGAAGCTGTGGTCCTTGTAAGTGAATTCAAGTAACTATGTTTCAGGGACAGACTCTTAAGCCATACTGCTTAATCCTGTTTCTGTACTGTATATACAGGTGGATAGTTCAACGAGTGTACTTGTAAATACTCCAGATCCCAACTTCATGTACAAATGGTCCACAGTGGCATCTCCTGAAGAGAAATCAATCAATCAGACTTTATTTATAGAGTCCTTCACAACACTCAAGGTGACCAATGTGCTTTCCAATAAAACCAATACAATATAAACATTAAAAATATTAAACAATAAAAAACAAAATAAAACAAATTGTGCCATTACATTACTGCATTACTGAATGTCTGAATAGCCAGTCTGAAAGTTTTGAGCCTGGATTTAAACGGGCCAAAGTCTGTGATGATGTGCATATCAAGGGGCAGTTTGTTCCAGAGTCTGGGGTAAAAAATGACTAATGCCCACATACTTTAATATTATTATGAGCCAGTAATTATGAATCTTTTGACAATTTAAAAAAACAAAACCAAAACAAAAACATTTAATATTTGTGGTAATAGAACTCAGTGCAACCCATATTCTTTTGAAGAATAAAAGAACCAGACAAAAAGAAAATGGAAGCAAACTTTGGACTTCAGCGAGATCGAAGTGGTTTGTTTTATGCCCCGCTGAAAAGGACCTGGCTCGGCAAATGATACACGACTCGCAGAATTGCATTTCCGATCTCAAATCAGCACCAGCCCCAGGTTTAGCCGTGTGTGAAATCAGACAGAGGGCGAGTTTAAGTGAAAGCCCACACAAGCAAGTACGCAGACATGATGCAATTCCAGAAGTCACACAGGCTGCAGATCTGATCAAAGCCTTATGCTAATCTGTTTTGTAAGCCCAGACACAAAACAAACTCATAAGCAGAAACGCAGCAGACGGCACCTGAAACTTCTCTTCTATTCAAGTTTTATTTAGTTACACTTCAACAGGAAGATGACTATGGATACATTTGTACCATCTGCTCCAATTATTTAGAGCAGATGTGAAATACGTTCAGTGAAAAGCATATTTTAAGCCAGATGCCCTACTCATATTTTTAGTCCTCTCTGCTATTTCAGGGTTCCAGGTGACATCACAACACTCTGAGGGGCAGATAAAATAAATGAAAATGCAGATTTTTGTTGTAATACAGCGAGTTCTTAGCCAGGGTGGCACCACCTAGTGACTCCGCTCAATTTCATTTCTCTCCAGAGACAAGGTCAGGAATCAGAATACACTAGACAGTTTGCAAGAACCCCAGAAGTTGTAGACAGCGCACCAGCCAATCAGAGAAGAGCTGTGAAGCCATGACTGGGTCACTTTTTGTGTTACAGCACAACAGTAAACAATTCTGTGTTGTCAACGATTCCTGAGATCACGGATTTAAAGCTGGAACAAAGAGAATATTTGGTGAATTTTATCAAGGGGAAAGACGTTATTCCCCTTCTTCCTACGGGATTTGGGAAAAGCTTAATATACCAGTTAGCCCCGTTAGAGGTGCATTACATACATCACGACCAAATAGCAACGATTGGTTAAATAAAAAAAGTACCTGCCTACCATGGAGCGAACAAATCCTAATGCTGCGAGGTCAGACAGTTTCTCATAGCCTATCTGACCAAAATAAAAAATTCCAAATGTTTGATTAACATAAAATTCATGAGAGCAAAGGGCTCATACAATACATAAATACATACTTTTTTGCTGGACTTTCTCAAATACAAATGCAGAAACAAATAAATCTAGTTCTTCTTTTAACTTAAAGGTGCCCTGTGCAACTTGTTTAGTGGAGGGTCTGTCACCTGCTTGTCTCTATGAACATGTGCCTAACATGTTCCACAGTAAGAACATAAACTTGTGTCTCCATGGAGACTTGCAAGTCAAATTACAGATATAGTTAAGATATTTTTGAGCAATAAATAACACCTGTAGTTCAATAAATGCAGATAACTGTGGACAATTTAAACCAAAGCACTGACATCTCCTTGTGGACCCTCGCCAGAAAAGTGCACCTTTAAGTCTCAAAATGTTTTATGTTCTGTTTGAGTCCAGTTTGATTCTGTTCTAGTCCTGGTTTAGATTAGTTTAAGATCTGCCTTTTGTCCCAGTTTAATCCTAATTCTGATGTGTGAATACCTACAAATTAAATATCTGATATTACACTGACCAGAGCAGAAAGCAAAGATAAAGGTTATATTTTAAGCCTGAAGAAAAAAGAAGAAAGAGGATTTGGTGCCTTTTACTACAGAGAGAGATTGCTTTGTCCTGCATGAGGGAGCAGCTCTCATCCACCGCTCTTGTCCGTTATGAGTTACAGCGTCCTGTAGGGGGAGGTATTCGTGCAGTGTGTGTTATCAGCGAGCCCTCTGCATATGGCTATTTACTGGAGCGTGGTGGCTACTGCAGTGAAGGGTGAAGGGACCCAACAGAGAGGTGCAGTGAGCCAATGCCTTTCCTCTGACAACATGAGCATCCACAGAGGCAGAAATCATCTCCTAATCTACACGCACACTGCTGCTAATCTGCTCCACGCTCCCACATTTACTCTGTGTTTAAAAGATCTTTCTGACAGCTGTCTCCTCTCTGTCTGTGTGAAGTGAAAGTGAGATGAATCTTTTGTTTAGACTGTTACTCTGTACTTATTTAGAAAAGAAAACTATATGGAATAAGCTGTCAGAGTTTTATCACAGTAACTAGAAATTATTGTAGGAGAATAATATTGTATAATAACCACGTTTCCCGACAGACAGTGTGAAGTTCATGATTTCAATATTAAAGGATTGCGCAGTGAAGAAGTAAAGGGACATGTGTGAAAAAGCTTTTAGTGTTATATGCATCAACAGCTAACTCTCTATATAATTATTTTCACCATACAAAAGTACTTAAAGGCTTAAATTATGTTATTTTCAGATCTCTGTTATAATATTGTTTCCTCATCACAAACATACCTGGAGTTGTGTTTTGTTTCATTCATATTTCTTTAACTCTGTTCCACCTTGTGAAGTCATGTCGTAATACAGGGAAGTGCTTGAGTCTACTGTGTTTTTACACTTCATACACCTTCACTAGGATCATTTCATGAATTCAGCCAATGGAATAGCAGATATCTACTGAACAAAAGGTAAAAGGAGCGTTTAACTTAAAAACTACCACTACATGACATCCCAAGGTGGTGAATGTGTGAATGAAACAAAACACAGCTCCAAGTGTGTTTTTGAGGAGGTCACAAGATTATAACATTGGTTAAAGCTCACAAGAGTCAATTTAATGTAATATAAGACCTCAGTTAAGTGATTTGTGAGAGTGATTTGTGAAGTGCAAATTAATTTATCTGACGCACAATCCATTCTTATACAGTATTTAATTATTAATTACTCAGACACTTCAGTTTCATTTTCTTAATGCAGCTTAATTTTGTGTGTGAAATTAAACTTTTAGTCGTAGCCCACTTAATGACAAGTGCCGTTCTAAAGCCGTTATTCATTATAAGTGTAATTAATGTTCCAATGACATATGTATCCATCCAAGCAGGACTTGTGCTCCCTTTCTCCTGATTCTTTTCACATTTCTCAGCTGCCCAAAAAGATTGAATCTCCCTCTTGACTCCTTAATTAACCTCTCTCCCACTCTTGGCACTGCCTCATGCCCTCATATTTTCTTTCTGCCCGCATTTGCAATGAGCACAGTGAAGCTCTGAAATACTATCGCTTATATACTCCTATAGTTTCTAGCAAATGGTATTTGGCAAAGTCACAGTGGCTCTCTATCAAAAAGTTAGTCACTTCTATTTCAGTTCAGTTTCACTTGAGTTCAGTTCCCATTTGTTAGTGTGTGGATTGAAATTCCAACTAAGCCTGCGATGAAAGAAAAAATAAAATAACATGGTAAATGTTTTAAAATTAAAACATTTGAAAAACAAATGGCTTAAAATTTGCAAATACAAAATACATACTTAGAACTGAAAAGTAGTGTACCTTGGTTCTCATGATTTCTTGAATGGCCGCATCAAACTCCTCTGAATTGTTGAAGTCCACAGTTATGACGTGAGGTTTGCCAATGTACTGCTCTGCATAGGGGTGCTGCGAGGAGACCTGAAACACATTCATACAAATGGTACAGATGAATTAGAAGTGAATAAAATATATTTTAACTATTTAATTGGTAAATTAAAGGTTCTATATTAAGCAAATTGACTCTTGTGAGCTTCATTTCCACGTTAAAATGTTTCTACCTAATCAAAAACATACATACCTGGAGGTGTGTTTGAGTAACCTTACATTGTTTGTTTGTCTACATCCCCACAGCTCAAAATGCTCTGTTCCAACTTGTGATGTCATGAGATGGTGGTTTTCAGGTTAACAGCTCCTTTTACCCTTTCTTTAGTAAAGATGGGCAATTCAGGGCTGAAATTATCAAAATTATTCTAGTGAAGCTGTATGGAGTTTAAAAACACAATGGAGCACTTCCTGTATTACCACATGACATCACACAGTGGAACAGAGTGTTTTCTGTTTGAAAAAAGAACTCACTCTAAATATGCAGGGTTTGGGCAACATTTGTGAATGAAACAAAACACAACTCCAGGTATGTTTGTGATGTGGAAACAACATTATAACATAGATCAAAACAAACATTACAGCGTAATATAGACGCTTTAATAGCTGGTGAGATACGATACCTGTCTGGATGTGGGCTTGCCTCTGAAGAATTCATGATTGAGAGAGCTATGTGGAGGGTTGAACTTGGGCTGGAGGAATATGCAGCCATTGGCTATTGCTTCTAGAGGAGCAGGTCCTTCATAGGGGAAACCGAAGCCAATGAAGAGCTGGACAGTGAGGAGAGTAAGACCTCAGTGTTCAAACATACAAACATTGTTAAGTTGAGAGACATTATGATGGTGGTAGCAGTCTTGCCTTGGCCTTGCGTAGCAGCTGCTGCAGTTCATGTTGTGGTAGGAGACCATGGTTCTTCACAAAGGCTGGGACTTCAGGAGGTCTTTGGGTCTCGTAGTACACTGTGCCATGTACCTCCATGTAACGATGTAAGATCTGAAGAAAGCCTTCCTTACCCTGCAGGGAGAGCAGAGAAAACAAATAACAGAAATATTAAACTAGAGCAAAGGGTTTCAGTCTTAAACTTAAAATAATATTAAAGGTGCCCTGTTTAACGTTTCTGGTGGGGGGTGCACCACCTGCTTGTTTCCATGGAGATGTTACACAGTAAAACAAAATGCATGCATTATTACTGTGAGCAGGTTCACTTCTCCACAAATCTGATCTGGTGATGTAGCCTGCTTGTCTCCATGGAGATAGTTCAATTAAATGCCATACTGTAGAATATTTCATGAAAAATCAACAGAGAGTCAAGCTACTGATGGATGAGAGGCTGCCAACCTGCGCCATCAAAACCTCCGAACACCATCAAACTGTCACTTACTCACCAGATTCATACATTGGAAAGATGGGGGAAGTGTCTTGCCTAAGGACACAACAACAGTTCAGCACTAGAGATACTGCTTCCCCACTGTGGCTCCTGGTATTTCTGGGGGTCTCCCGTCCAAGTACTAACCAGCCCCAGCCCTGCTAAAATTGGGCACTGACAAGGCAGTATTCAATGGAGTGACAGTATTTTTTAGACTAATCTTAACTATAGCTCATTATAAACTATCAAACAAATCAGTAAAACTCACACATTTTCTTTTTTTTTTCTCTAACATTGATTGACTTGTTTGAGGAAAAACGTCAATTCATTTATCCGGTTTATATGCTGTGCTTTATTGGCTCCTGTGACATTCATAGACACACAACATTTTACACACAACAGGTACAAGAAGGCTCTGGTTCAAAGTCAAGGTTGATGTGCCATTAGAAGATAAAACACAGGAGCGTGCCGGCACAGTAACAGCCTACATTAAATCATGAGCGGAGCAGGACCCTGGGCTGTGCTATTGAGTGTCTGACCAGTGTTAAACAGTTTACTCTCTCCTTGTTCCATGCTGAGGCCCCCTGCAGCTGTAATTGGAAGCTGTACCGATCGATCGCTTCCTCCACTAGGATTTTCCCAGCCAATTAGGAGATTAGCTCGAGTGCTAAGTGCAGCAGACAACAAAAATTAGCATACAGGGAACCACAGCACAGACTGGGTGACCTGTATTTCAGTCTAGTGCTCTATTTTCTTTTTACAAGGTTGTTTCTAAACCTACAATGTCAAAACCAGTGCGCTAACTGTGTCCATGCCGTCACTGTCCCTCTAAGCAGGATGTCGATGAATGAGTTCTTTTTTCAGCATTAGGAATTTAGTATTTTAAGAGTCTTTATGTTAAAAAGTACAGTCGTAAACACAGGACATGCATGATGAATATTTAAAGGTGCACTGCGCAACATTTCTAGTGGAGACTCCCTATTTACAGAAGGTTAAACTGTATTTTTGAGCAATAGAAACACAAATAATGAATAAACACTACATGGAGACAAGTAGGTAGCAGACCTGTGATAGAAATTTAGATTGTGGAAAGATTTCTCTCATTCTGTCTTAAATGAATGTGATTTCTACCTGAGACCAGACCCCCACAGGAAAATATTGATTATGATTGATTACAATGAAATAGTGATTAGTTTATCTTTTAGAAACAAATTTGGTCTTGTAACTAAAACTCATTTGGTTTGTTAGAAAGACCCTTCAATGTAAATACTTCTGTTCCCTTTTGCTTGCTAATCTTACCAGGAAGTGACAAATGCAAGTGAATATGGATGCAAATCAGATGAAGCACATCTGGCCACACCTCAGTAGGAGTGGTCACTTTCTCACTTTGAAATGTATGTCTTCTGGTCATCTCAGGCTTTATAAACTTGGTGCTTTGTAATATTGGGGGAGATACTTGGGAAGATGGGGCAAGATGTGATAGGGACATCCTGCTGGTTAAGAGAGGCTGTTGGGCTTTGGGCAGGGCAGGTCTAGGCCTGGTCCATATCTGCTGTAACAAGAATAACCCTTGGTCTATATTCCAAAAACTCATCAGGCTTTGCGAATGGATTCATTATTTATCAGCAAGAGAGATATTTTTTTTCTACAACAGACCCAACACCACAAAAGTTGCTCAGAGCACCTTTAATTAGAAAACTGTTTCTGCATTAAAATTAAATCCTACATATCTCACAGACAATGATGCATTTTAAAGTAAGTGCATGTGCTTTGATATTAAGTCTTACCTGAAGCTATAGTAAATAACATTGAGCCGGATCCAGTGGTCGCCATGGAGAAAAGGACACAAACAGAAAACATTAGTCAAGAGAAAATCGCTTAAACATAAGCAATTAGGACACAAATAAAACATGTTGTTGTGTAGGCGAAAAAGTTTATGTTCCTGCTGCTTTGGTGTATTTAAAAAACACCACACCACTTTTTGCATCTAAAGAAAACATCACCGTAATGACTTGAACAATAGAAGCCTGGGGAGTGCTGCAGAATGGGAAGACTGTATTTGAAGGGAAAATTGCTTGCAAATTGGGCTCAATTGTGTAAATGAAACCACAAGCAAGTGAGCCGTAATGGCCCAACACAGCAGGTATCAGATGTCACTGCTGCTCCACTGTTCCAAAAACTACAGAGAATACAATATGTATCAACAGTTCTCTTTGTTCTTTTGTCGGTGTTACTGTAAAAAAAAAAAAAAAAACAGAAAAAAAACTGACACACATTTTCTTTTCACGCAGGACCTGGCATGATCTAGCTGCTCTGTAACCTGCTGGAGTTAACATGGGACACAGCAGGTCTTTACAAAAACACAGGAGGAGAACAAAAATGAAAGTACCTAGACAACGTTGAAGAAATTCAGGTAAATAACAACATTAAGACACCTCTATGCATGACATTATCAGGTAATACTTTAAGTCAAAAATATTCATGTAGGTGTGTGGCATGATGTGACATTTGGCCCACCCATTATTTGAGTTAAAATGCAAACTCATTTATTCATTTATTCAAGAGTATTTGATAAAGTTTAATTTAACACCAAAAAATAAATCAGGTAAGATAAACAAAGCTGCACTGTCTAGTCACAATACTGTATCTGTGTCTTCACGCATGAGAGGCTTGAAGGAGCAACATAAGACTGTGCAATGAATCTCATATGGAAATAACAGAGAGCTCCATAAAGTCAATTTTGCAAAATACCCACTCTTTAACAAACTGAAAGTCACAGTGAAAAATGCGGATTACAGTATGGTTACAGTATATATGCAGATATGAAGAAGTGTGCTGTGGGTTGTGATATGTCCAGAGAGTCAAGCTGTAGCAGATGGGTGGGTCAAATGCTCTGGTCTGTCATATGAAATAATGGAGCATGAAACACAGATATGTTGCCACCTGACTACAAAGTCCCTTGAAAGTGCAGGAGGAGGAGGAGTTTAAACTGAATTCTGTGAGTTAATGGGAGCCAGTGGAGTTGAATGAGGACCGGTGTGATGAGTGATATGGATTTTCTATGGGGAACGATCCTGGCAGTGGAATTATGGATATTTTGAAGTTGGATGAGTTTTTGAGGCCCGGAGCCCGGAGATGAGGGCTCATGCTGCCTCAAAAAAAAAAAAAAAAAAAAAAAAATTAAAATTGAAATTAATTAAAATAACAACTACCCAATCATTTTTATATACAGAATACTTCATTTTGTAGCTTTATTTTAATATTTATTATGCCTCAACATTAGCATTAGTGTTAGCACTGAAACACAAGCATCTCTTTCTAACTTTAAACACATAATTGCCCTTTGCTCAAGTATTCATTTTATTTGTGTACTTCTTAACATGTTGTCAGTGATGTCAACCCGCAGCTCCCTGTTCACTGCCTGATCTTTCAATATTTGTTCATTTCAGCATGACTCACCAAAAAAAAAAAAAAAAAAAAAAAAAACGGAAGTAGTGACGCTAACAGTGAGGTTGTTGCACAGATGAAGGACCTTAGTGGAAAAAGGCTGAGCAGGTGATGTGAGAAGCAAATGAAGGAAAGAGTCCAACATGACACCTAAGCTTCTGACTTGTAAGAACATGAGAACCACACAGCCATTAATGCAAATACTGAGGGACAGGGACTATTTTCTTTACGTTACCTTCCACATGCTAGGCTCCTTGCCGTACACGACCGCCATGTTGTTAACCTTGTTCTGCTGGATGTTCCTCTTCTCGGTGTCATTGAGCTCTTCCGACACAAAGCCCATAAAGGAGTTGTCCGGGGTGTGAGCTGAGGAGCGAGTGAGGGAGCAGATGGGCCAATTCAGAGAAGAAAATGGCAGTGTAGAGAGGTTGTTAATGAGAGCAAAGGGAAAACAAGAAGAAACACTCAATCTTGGTTGTACCAGTTCAGTGGGATAATTACTCCACTAAGTATTCTGAATATGTTTGTGTTAGAAAGCCGTCTGTTCTAAATGACTGAGTTAACTTCACAACTTTAAATTACGGAAACACTTTTTAGGAACTTTGCTGTGAATGTATGAACGGAATTGGTGCTGAACGATGTACCTTAAAGGTCCTATATTACACAAAATGTATTCTTATGAGATTAAATTTAACCCTGTTACAATGTTGTTTCCTGATTAAAAACATTTCATTCACACATGTTTGAGTATTTATTTATTACTAGTTTGTCGACATCTTCAGTGCTCAAAATGCTCTGACCCACCTTGTGATGTCATATAACAGTAGTTTTCAAGTTAACAGCTCCTTTTACCCTAAATTCAGTAGAGATTAGCAATCCCAGGGTTGAAATCATTCAAATTAATTTAATGAAGGAATGTGGAATTTAAAAACACAGTGGAGCGCTTCTTGCATTACCACATGACAAAACTTCAGGTATGTTTTTGATGAGGAACACATTATAACAGATCAGAACCTAGCATAATATAGCCCTTTAATGAATAAAATGCATTATAAATTTGGTATAATTATATTGCTGTAAATGATCATTGATAGCTACATGACATGATTTGTTTTTATTTGAGTAAACAGAGACGGGGAATGTTGCATTTGTGTTCATTCTTAATTGAAAGTATTTTGTGTGTGCTACATTTGTTACATTTTACATTCTAAATAAAATGTATTATAAAGCTCTAAATAGGAACACAGAGGCAGGTTACACCGAAGAGCAGAATTATGGCAAGTAAAGCACATTATAACAGAGCATAGAACAGGGTTTAGAAAAGAGAAGAAAAGCCGGTGATATGTTTTTGAAGCATGCTCGAAGGTATGTTAAAAATAGAGATGTCCAACACATTAGTCCCAATTAAAGTGAGCAGGCAGCCAGACCTGTCAAAGCAGATTACAACAGAAAGAGACGGGTTTTGTTATTTTAGAATGGCTGTCAAACTTTATACATCCCTGAGAAAGCTGCTAGACAGTTAAGAGCTGTTACATAGAAATATTGTTTCTCTGATTTTCTATTACCAAACTCAAATTGAAAGTTTGTAATTTGTAGAAATAAATGAAAATAATGACTGTAATTGTCAGTATGAGTGTACTCACGGAACATGGTCATATACTGTCTGGAGTCGAGGTTCCAGTAGCCCCAGTTGGTCCTGTATCCGTGCAGTGTGGCGTATTCCTCGTGGTTATAGGCCGGTTCTGTCCCAAATGTGTCAATCACTCGGATATGACATCTGCAATGAGAAATACTTATGGTGTTATTTAATGCTCTACAAATAGAAGATATTTAAACACTGTAGACCAGCCTGACAGTCAAATCTTTACTAATTAATGAGTTCATTTTTTTTCATTAAGCTTTGTTAGGGGTTGTGGCTGTGGGGAACATATCCCGGCAAATATTGACCTAATCATGGCATAATTCAAATAATTTATGATTTATGGACCTAAAATTCAAACAAAAAATGTCAGATGCAGCATTGTGAATAAGAGACTAGTCTGTCCTCACACTATTTGACCCCACACATAGTTTACATTACATCAGTTGCAGCTAAAGAACAGGTCACTTACTAAAGTATAGGCCTAAATGTGATTTCATTTATTTACTGATTTCCAGCAAGTCTATGAACACAAGAATAAGCATGATATATTACACAAAATTGATTCTTGTGAGCTTTAAGCCATGTTAGAATGTTGTTACCAAAAATATACCCAGAATTGCATTTTTTTTCATTAGAGTAACTCTTTATTATTAGCCTCTCTACATCTCTAAAGCTCAAAATGATGTCATGTAGTGGTAGCGCTCAAGTTAGCATCTACCTTTTAGCTTTTGTTTGGTAGAGATTGGCAATTCCAGGGCTGAAATTTTATGGAAATGATTCGATTCAACGTGTATGTTTATGTTTGAGTTTTAAAACACAGAGGAGAACTTTCTGAATTACCACATGACATCACATGACGGAACAAAGTGTTTTCTGTTTGAGAGAAGAACTCAGCCTAAGTATGCAGGGTTTGTGTGATAATCATGTGTGAATGAAACAAAACACAACTTTCTTTTGATGAGGATACAACATTAAAAAATAAATCAGAAAATAGCTTTTAAGCTGATTCAATAAAGAGTTTAGTTTTCTTGTTTAGGGTTGAAAAGGAGCAGGAAGAATAAAACATAATAAAACACAGAATCTCACCTCTATAGTAATTTAGAAAAAACTGGGACAGTCAGAAAAAGGTTTGGCTCATAAAAATCTCTACTTATTTTTGCTCCTGTGAATTCTGACACCAAGGCTGCAATTTGAAGGTAACCATTGTGTGTTACTATTTGTAAAGGCCACTGGAAACTCAAATTGAATTATTAATATCCAACGCTAGTTTCACTTGTCTTGAATTGGGCTTGGGCATTCTCACAGTGAAAGGGTAAAAGTGTTGGTGCCTTGAGATAAGACATCCCAAAGGAGGAAGGAGAAATAAAAAAGGAGCAGGAAGAGGGGATAGGTGAAAGAAAGTGGATGAGCTGAATATCTATCAGAAGATCAGAGTATGGTCTAATCTGGGTTAAACAACTGTTCAGTGAGGTTTAACAGGCCAGTATTACCTACAATACAACAAATAAACACACACAGTCAGAGGTAGTTGTAATAGTAAACTGGCAGAAAATGGTCATCAACAAAATTAAACTCTCAATTCTGATCTATGTTACAATGTTGTTTCTTCATCAAAAACATACCTGGGGTTGTGTTTTGTTTCATTCACACATGTTTAACACACTCCATGCACCTTCATTGGAATCATTTGGATGATTTCAGCCCTGGAATTGGCAATCTCTAATGAACGAAAGGTAAAAGGTTGCTGTTTGCTTGAAAACTACCACTTCGTAACATCACAAGGTGGAACAGAGCATTAAACAGCTGCTCGGTGAGGTTTAACGGGCCTGGGTCACCTGCGGGACACTTACAAAACACCAAATAAACACACACAGTCAGAGGGAGTGACCACTGAGGGCCTGCTGTGATTTCATAGAGCTGTAATAGCAAACAGGGGCATGACTGTCAACAGAATTAAACTCTCAGTTGTATATATCCTTTTACAATGAACGCCAGAGTAATATAATTTTTACTTTGTGAGGCACCATACACTGTACCTCCTACATATTTGTAGCACGGCACAAATGCTTCCATCTATACGTAGTTAATATATACTATTTTGTTGCCAAGAAATTAAAGATTATAAGGCATCAGTCTTCCACTTTACCGAGAGTCAAGTTTGTGTATTAGCTATTAACATCATACTTGTTCTAAGTAAACCATTGTTTCTCAAAGACTGGGTCGCGACTCAGGTGGGTCGCAGGAGACATTGTTTTGGGTAGCATTGTCACGAGCTGCATGTAAGTCTGCAATATACAGTTCTACAGACTATTTTGTTCCAATATTGCTGGTTCAGTTGAATGTTGAAAAGAAAAAGAAATGCGCTACATTTAATGTCCAAATAGGCGACTTATGGATCCTTTTATTCCTGGTTCAATGACTGTTTTTCATTGTTTAAAACTTGAGTAATACAAATTGTTCAGGGAGACACCATCACACAGTCAACAATAAAATATCCTCAATGTTCAATAATGGTCAAATCCACCTTTATTTTGTGATTTATGAATAATGTCTATTGACTTGGGTCGCAAAGGTTTATGGCTTTTAAAATATGGGTCCCCAGAAAAAAAAAGTTTGGGAAACACTAAAGTAAACTACTACTGCATGGGCAGACTTTATGAAAGTGAGACTACCAATCTGTGCCTTTCTCCCCTCTGACCACAGCTGATCAATCACTCACACAGCAGATTCATACATAGGCAGGTTGGGTGAAGTGCTTTGCCTGAAGACACAACAACACTATACACTATTGCCCTACCTTGGCACCTGGTATTCCCAGATGTCTCCCCAAAAAGTGCTAACCAAACCCAATGTTAACTTGCTTATATCTTCAAAATCCAATAAGTGCATTGACAGTGGTATGGTGTTTCAGTGCAGTTAATGTAATGGAAGATTTCTTGTGAAAATTGTGAAAAAAGGATGTGTTACCAGCTAATACAGAGTCGTAATGTAATGTGCAGTTAAGCAGAAGAGAGCCATTTGGTTTTCACATGTTAAACCATTACATGAGACGCTCTGTGCTAAGAGCTGAGGAGTGAATAATCCTGCCTCGTCCATCTTTCATTCATCCCCCATTAGCTCTGCAGGTGCTCGGTCCCTTCTTACTCATCTGTGCACGAGGAGCTCAAACACAGCTTAAAAAGAAATTATTCAGTTTCAATATTTTTAAATGATTTTCCTTGCCAAAAAAGCAGATTATTCAATTCACATTTTTGAGCAATAATTTGGGGAAACTAACATTACGATGATAGTTATTACAACTATATACTGTAGATTGTCCATCTAATTGTTAATCCTGGGACATTTGATGACCTTTGATATATTCTAGGCATTCTATAAGTAAACCTATCAAGATAATTGCTATATCAATTTACTGTTCAATATATGAAAGCTGGAACAATGTATTTTGGAGCTCAATATTTATCATATGTACAATTTCTATGTAAAAATTGGGAAATTTGGGGTATTGTTGTTAATACAATTACATTTGAGCTGTAAAAGGTTGAAAAAGTGATTTCTATGGCTAATTATTGATTCATTTATTGATTCATTCTGCTATTTATTTGTTGTAGCTCATGACTTTTCCTCATACTGTTGATTTAAAAATGGTTTATTAGGATTATCTTGCATTTTTTTTTTATTTTTTTTTTTTTGTATATCATGCTTTAGTCCTAGTCCCATGGACAGCTCCCACATACTACAGCCCTGTGTGGGAGCTGTCCATGGTACCAGGCAGGAGATTCATTCATATCCAATGCAAACCTTACCTTTCCACATTACCATATTTGTTTTATTAACTGACATGTGCTAGTCTTATGCTTATACGTTGTAACATATAAGGGAATCTGGGTGAATGAGAATGAGGAAGCCCAGTCAGCAAGTTGTAAGATTCATAGATGTGTATGAAAAACCCTGAGGTCATGGATTCCAGCAGTCAGCAGGAAAATGCTTCTTTCAAATGCCATTGTGGCCAAAATAAAGAAGTGCTTCACTGTTGAAATTTAAATTTTACGTATGAACATATTTATATTTTATATCTGTGAGCTAAGTGTGTGAGCAGCCTTGAAGATGGGATAATTAATGTAGGATTTTTATCATGTATAAAGATCCCTTACTACACCGATCTACGTTATAATGTCATAATGCTGTTACCTGCTGGAGTTGTTAATAGAATGTTGCTCTCACTGAAAAATGTAAAAGTGGGCAAGGTACAAACATAATCATGCCCTGACGAAGACCATCTTGCTGCTCTTCGTGTTGGCGTCCCTAAATGTAATAAAGGACATTTAGTATATTCAGTCGGAGTGCCTCGGGTTTGTATCTTGCCCCATTTTACATCTTTCAGTAAGGGCATCATTCTGTTAAGAGTTTAACCCTTGTAGAGCACCTGTACTGTTATTTTGTACTTTTTTATGACCCAGTGAAGCGCTCTACTGTTTTTTCTTCATCTGATACCTGGAGTTGTGTTTTGTTTCATTCACAAGTTTAACACACAAATCCTCCATATTTAGGCTGAGTTCTTCTCTCAAACTATATGCTGAAAACTTTAAAACTATCGCTTCATGACATCACAAGGTGGAAAAGAGCATTGTGAGCTTTAAAGATGTAGACGCACTAATAATAAAGGGTTACTCAAACCTGTATGAATGAAACAAAACACAACTTTCCTGCAAAAGCTCCAAAGGGAGGAGTTTTAGAGTGAAAATGCCCTGCCTTTGTTTAACATAATTATACTCCTATTATGTTGGCTGTTTCATTTGCCATGTTATTAAAGATCTAATTAGAATTTAATTGGCTTGTTGTCTTCTTACTCCACAGATTGAGAATACTTCTGTAAACAGCTGAAATATACTGGAGTCCACCATTCCTGTTCAGTATCATAGACTGTATCTATAGACTTAGACTTAGACAAACTTTACTATCCACAAGGGAAATTATTTGGACACATCACAATATATTATAATAACAAAAAGCAAAAATATAAATGGTAATATAAATTTCTAAATAAGTAGCAAAAAAAAAGACAGCAGGAGAGAGGTTTCTATATATAAATGGACATAACTAACCCACAAGCCACCGCGTTACACATAGGAAGTGAGCACGGAGGCGCTTCTGGCTCTATTGACTCTGGCTCCAATTCACTATAGTGAAAAGATGTCGCCCCACTCTCTCAAACTGCCTTCTTAAAATGTTCCTATTAACTCACATTTTATTTCATTATTTTGTCCGTAAATCGAGACATGAACATTAATAATAGACAAATCAGCATTAGCTACAGGTTTGATTGACAGTGTTACTAACCGCCCGCTCTGTGCTAAACCAGCCGTACGAGCGGGAATGGGAGTTACCTTCAACAGTCCCCACTCCGGATTGGCTCTTTGGTTGCTATGATACACACGGTCAGAATTCCAAATATAGAACTTGGCTCCAAATTCAATCCTATAACTCAAGCCTCCATAAGCTTTATTTAACTGGAGCCGGACGCTGTGAGTGACGTCAGACTCCCTTAGTCTACTTCTTCATCCAGTCTATAGTTTTAATGCACAAATAGAACAAAAGAAAGACTCAAGTCACTGACCCTGTACAGTGATAATGACACTAATACATACTCAAATAGTGTTTTAATTCAGGAGAGTATTTCAAAAGTTACAATTACTTTGTCTCACAGTGGTATGTAATCCACTACACTCATTATTCGCTTCACACAGACTCAAACGAAACTTTGAAATCCCAAATTGAGTTCCTCATGACAAACACTGGACTAAAGCTGGGTGTAGCCGCAGGTTTAATAATGTCGCTGCTGATTGTAACATAAAGCTACAGTAATTACAGCAGCTGAGGCCCCATGGCTCCGGCCCTTGATTAATGACGCCTTTCAGCCAACAGCACTCGACTGGACCAAGCTCAGGATCCAATAGAGGAACTGTGGGGAGGGGGGTCTGCATTGAGCCTGACCTACACTAGACCTATATATAGGCCATGAGTAAATGAACTAACTCAGGGGTTTTCAAGCTGTAGTAGTGGGCCCACCGGTTGTTCATGGTTATGTCAAATGATTTCTATTTTCTATTGGGCTTTATCCATTGGCAGTGATGGAGGAAGTATTCAGTTTTCTTAATAAAAAGATTTCCTGCAAAAAAAACTACTCATGTAAAGGTAAAAGTATCACACAAACAAATCTACTCAAGTAAAGGTATAGTACTCAGTTTTCAGAGTAGGCTCTGTACTCAGAGTAAAAAGTCTTATCAGGCTTCAAATGTTTTAATTTTGATAAAGATTTTAGTTGAATTTTGGTTTGGTTCAGCAGAAACAACTAACTAGAGTATTTTCCAAGCTGTTTTATTTTTGTTTTTTAATTTTATTTACTTGTAGATGATAGTTTGCTCAAACTACAAATGTGTAACAATAAAACATACTTTTACTTTTCAGTCCAGTTCAAAAAAGTTCAGTAGAAATTGCAGGTATATAAAATGTATACTTAAGTACAGTACTTTATTACTTTTTTACTTCATTACGTTCCACCACTTGTCCATTGGTAGTATACTGTCCTGCTGCAATGACTGAAATGAATTCTGCATTCACACAAACATCACATTCAGTGGGATTAAAGCTGGACTAAACCAGGACAAGAACAGGAGCAGACCAAGGCTACATCAGGACTGAACCAGGATAAGTATGAATGCACCTTTAGTGACCTTTCCTGAGCCAAACCTCTCTACTTTGGCCTTTTCTGATCTACTGTAAAGCTGAAATGCACTGTAAATTGTTTAAATTGGTCTAATAATTTAAAAAACAAACAAACAAACAAACAAAAAAAGCAGACCCAATATTAACTAATGGAACGTCATACACATCATTTAAATCAATATTAAAAATTCTTATAGCACAGCCTTTAAATAAATAACTGTCTCAAGTCTTGAATATTCTCATTGTTAAGGTGCCTCTAGATAGAGAATAAGAATAAGTAAATGTTCAGTTGTATAACTAAAACATTGCAATAGTCTATTCAGCTGATGCCTGGAGCAGAAAGAAGTGTGTGTGGTGCAAACAGCAGAAGTCAGACTGTGTTAGTGGGAGCAGAAATCACATGTGGTAATGACTGAGCTCACTACGCTGACCTCAGCAAACAATTAGACGCAGCCCACAGCCCGAATGGCATTTGGGAGAATGTGCTGTTCAAAGAGAAAGAGACAGAGACACGCCTGGAGAATCACTCTGCACCTGTACGGAGCACAGATTGGGTTTTTATAATACATGTTTTTGCACTGTAAGGTGATAATCTATTACAAACTAAACATTTTCATGTTTGAGTGTTATAGTTTCTGACAGCGAAAGAAAGAACAGACACACACACAAGTGCGAGAGTGGCTCCACAAGTTACATTTTTTTATAGCGGAGTTTAAAACATCAGTATTCAATAAGTACTAAAATGCAAAAAATGAAATAATGAAATAAAATTTTAATAACAACCAATATCATGGGCTGCTGTATTGATATATTTGACAACATTTTGTGACAGCGCCTTGTTGCTTATTTAGTGGAGGGAAACGTGTTTGAGCAATAAATAAATATGAAATATTCATTGTTTTGATTGTTCAAATGGAAGTACTTCATATTAACTTTGCGTAGTGGTTTTGACTTTTGGCATCACAGTAGCCATGTGAGCCTTTAGAGCTGTCATGTCCTTTTGTATGTCCTGTAAATAAATCATCATGATTAGGGATGTCCCGATCACATTTTTTTGCCTCCGAGTCTGAGTCCTCCATCATCATAGTTAAAAATCTTGACTTTTCACAGTCTGGTCTTGGAATGTGTGACTTAGTAATCTTAATGAACTGGACAAAACAGGAACCAGATCAGAATCAGATCAGACCTGAGACTAGACTGCACAATCTACAGTTTGTATATTTGATATTATACGGAAGCCTCTGCATTACATTTGAAACATTTAGGCTAGTCTATCATATCCAAATAATACAAAATCTTACCAAATAATAACGAGATGACAGAAGCCCCACAGCCTCTCTCCCCCACACCGCCACCACTCCCCACACCGCCACCACATTCACAAACCCAGTGCGGAGTGCGCACCGCAACATCGGTCCTACAGCTCAATAGACACTTCATACCGCTGGACGGACCCTCACCGCCAATAGCACCCGCTCCGCTGCACAACAGCGCTGTTTGTTTTGTTTGCAACAAACAGTGCCGTGCGATGATGCCATCTGCCGCGCAGGTGTGAACACGGGCCACAGAACCCCAGGTAACAGTGCCCGAGCACGGCACAGCCCAAAAGTCCCAGTGTAAGTGCACCTCCACTACAGCAGGCGCTGGGACAGACAGTCGCGCTGACTGGACGTCAATGAGCAAATCCCGCACCTCAGAAAAACTGTTGTGTGCTGTGTGTCCTTTGTGTTATATACGTATATTATTTATCCGATACTTGATCGGCCCATAAAGCCCGACTCCGGGTCGAGTCCACAGTCACGTGATCGGCACCAATTTCTGATCACGTGATAATCATGATCATTAAGTATGAGGCCAAAAGACTTAATTTCTTACAGAACCGTATTGAATCGTAATAATACCCAGCCCCAGTGTAGCCCTAGAATCCTTTCGGCTTAAGTTTGAACTGTTATAAGTATCTACACTTGATTCATTCTCAACATGTCTTTCCATTATCCGTACATTTTAAACATAAGAGGGCTGTATTGTTTAATCCTAATATAAGCGTGTGCAGTGCTCTGTGGAGTTTTGAAAGCCCACGTTTCCATTTTGCACATTACTTGTTTTGCTGTCTTGGTCCCATGGCTGCTGTGGCCTACTTTTGGGTTCTTTGTAGCACTACCACAATCCATTAAGAACACTTTTGTGATGCCACACACAGCAAAGCTTTTAGAAAATGGCACTCATGTAGCTACCTTCAAACATACTTTCAGGCCCATGTTTTTTTTTTTTCCTTTGTCAATGTGCACCCTTGTCAAAGTAAATCTAAACAGCCCTCCCTACAAAACCAACTGTTCACAAACTGAAGCTTATTAGATCATACAAACATGTCACACTGATGTACAAAAAGGTCTTTTAACAACAGAAAGAACCTGAAGATTTTGATTTTAAACTACATTTCATACTGAATCCTCAAAACCTAAACCCCAGCCCCTGCAGCCTCTGCAGCTTAGTGGGAGAATTCTAGAGGTTCTGAGCTTTCACATGAGGCATGGCCTGCCCATATACTGAGAATGAGAAAAATCTCTATATGCAGGTTAAGGCACTGGCCACTCAGTACTTTTTGTAAGAGCAGTGGCTACATACAGCTCCTTTAAGATTCTAGTAAAACTGACTTGGCCACAATCTATTTGATGCAGACGTATTTTGAATTAACACCTAAACACTTGTATTACCGCAGTCCCTTTACTGCCCTTGTGTTTAACTATCTTTTCATCAGACAAACCACGATACATAAAAACAAAACACAGAAATGAAAGATGACCTCTAAAAATATTCTCTGATAAATGTCGCCAAAAAGACTGGCTAAAACCCTGCTGCGGCAGACGGACTGTGAGCTAAACAAGCCCAGTGAGTTACTGTGAGGCATCTGGACAATGACAAGCACACCTTATTACCAGCCATAATGAATCCATAAACACGGCCAATAAAGGAACCTGCTAGAGGAGGAAATGACTGTAGCGTACACCTCCATCTCCACACACAGACGAGCGGCAGATTTACTCTCACAGACACATTCAAAACCTCTGATACTCACTTATGTTTCTTTAGCGAGAGCCCCATGTGTTGTTTCATCTGCTGCAGGCCATGATAGTCTGTGTAGATGAGGTCAAAGGGCAGAGGGCCAGTTAGTGGGCAGCTGCCTCTGCCGGGGGGAACGCCAAGAAATCTGCAATGCACAGGAAAAGCAAGATTTTAAATGAAGGATTTTCTCCACGGTGAGTACACTGACAAGAGGAGATGTACACAGCTGCAATCAAAATACTTTGACAACCTAAAATCAAACAATCTGACAAAATGGTGCATTCAGAATGACTACAGTTGTTGAGGCTAAACTGCTATCCTTTTCACACAGAGAAATAAGCGGTTATAGCAACAAGAAGTGATAGATGACAACCCACTCAGCAGACGCCCATAAGTACTGCTCTGCTCTCATAATCCTCCAAACAGAGCTCTGCAAAGATACTATAGCAGCAAGAGGCCTCCTTCAGCACCTCACACACTAGAAGAAACTTCGAAGGGCACAACATATTTATTGCAAAGTTAGATAAGCACATCTGTATAATAGAGTTAGACAAGGTTTGAGAAAAACAACAGTCCTATAGAAACTGCCTTTCAAAGCAAAAGAGAACTAAAGATTATAGACAGGTGAACAGTGACAATGTTATCAAACTTCTAATCTAATTGAAACTTTGGTTCAACAATGAAAGCATAACTTTACAATGCAGGATTTCAAAGTAGCAGTTGCAACTCTCACTAGAAATCTGCTCTTGTATCTCTGACCTGTGTATTCATGGCTTTAAGTAGCCAAGGCCATTGTGTGTTTACTAGGAGAATCCTATTATCTTTGCTGATTACAACTACAAGAACCCCCTATTGGACTTTATAAACATTGGTACTGTGGAAATGAGACTTTTGCATGTTTCTCATATGCCTGCATACGTTTCCTCTGGTGCTCTCCACTTTAAATTCCACTAAATCATGTACAATAGAGTCCCCTCTAGGGCCAAACTCTCTGGAAAAAGTAGGACTATTCAAGTTAAATGAAGGTCAATAAAAATAATTTAAAAAAGAATCATTATGAATAGCTCCCTTTTTCAGTTACAAGCAAATCCTGCACACATTTTTATCACCACTTTGATTGAAGGTCTTCAAGATGGAATCCCCTCTATTTATTTCAGCTTGGAACAAATTTTTTGACTCTGCTATTTTTTTACTTTTATTTTACCTTCATTTAACCAGGAAGTCTCATTGAGATTCAGAATCTCTTTTAAAAGAGAGACTTGTCCAAGGTAGCGGCCATCACAATCAACAGTTACATTTGTGAAAAAAAGACCATAAATCACCATACTTTTGACTTAAAAAAACCCAAAAAAACATAACAAGATGCTAAAGAAAGATAGCTCCAGTACCATGGTGCTGTGTAGCAAAAGCTGATTTTCCCTGATCAGTGAGGCACAAAAGGGCACTGAAAAGTGGGAGGAGAAACAACGATAACTGAGGTACCCTGGAAGTTTCCCTAGTATGGTGTTGTAAAAAATATTGTTTTCTGCAGATTGTTGACAATGTCCAGCCAACTAAACCATAAAGAAAGCAGTGATGAGTGAGGGATTGAGTATTGATCATAAATGAAGTGGTGCATGATGCACAGAATGGAAGGAGGAAGCATGTTTATACAAGTGTCACCATAGTTCATTATAAAGACAAATGTTACTTCACCAGTTCCTTCTAAAAGTGAATGCCAAATATGCAATGAATGAAAACCATGAACCCTAAACAGGTCCTTCTGATATTCTAGTACCACAGAGCTCCAGTGTTTTTAAGGTTAGATGCAACTTACATGCACTTTAGAATACTTGTGATGCATTAGGGGAAAGTCTAATAGGATTTCAAGTGCCCATTAACCCTTTAATAGAGCGTGGCTTAATTCATAGATGTAATGGCAATTTCTATTCAGTAGAACTCCAAACTTTGTTTTTTCTTTTACTTCATACAACTCTTAAACCTCTTCACACAAACCATGCTGCTTCTAATGCATCCTAAATGTGTACTCTGTTGTGACCTTGTGTGCAGGTTAAAGTTGAAGTCTTTGGCTTCTGATTGATCAGAAAAACTGCACCATTAAATATAATAAAATCATGTTAGCATTCAGCTGTGTTATATGTAAATGTTCCCTCATATTTTTAACACACTAGTTGAAAATTGAATTCACTCAGGTTAAACTCAAGTTGGTTAATATGGTTGCAGACCTTAACTATTCACTGCATGTAGTCTTCGTGCTACATTTCTCCTTATGTCCTTAACCTAGGCCAGAAAATATTGTGAAAAGCCAAATTAAAGTTCATTCTTTCATTCACACATACTTGAGTCCTTTATTATTAGTCTGTCTACAATCTCTGAAGCTCAAAATGCTCTGTTCTACCTTGTGATGTCATACAGTGGTAGTTTTCAAGTTAACATGTACCTTTTACCTTTCATTTAGTAGCAATCCCAGGCTGAAATCATCCAAATTATTCTTGAGAAGGTGTATGGAGTTTAAAAACACTTTGAAGCACTTCCTGTATTGTCACATGACATCACAAAGTGGAAAGTGTTTTTGTCAGCCAATGAAAATGCAGGATTTGTGTGTTAAACATGTCTGAATGGAACAAAACACAACTCCAGGTATGTTTGTGATGTGAAAACAACATTATAACATGGATCAGGAAATAGCGTAATATGGGCCCTTTAACAGTTTGATTGCAAGTATTTAATGAATTAGCATTTCAGTTGGAGACATGAGACAGCTGTGCTCTGTGTTCACCTTCCTGTGTTTCTCCTGACACATGCAAACTGACAAACAGGTTACAAGGACAGGCAAAGAGTGACTGTGGTGCAGTGATTAATCAAACAACATTGCTCTGCTTAGTGAGGACACTGCTTTGCCTTTCTGCTGTCGCGGCAACCTGAAAGTGTATTTTCACAATATTTTACAACGATTTGAATCTGGACTAGTTTAAATGAAGTGTGACCAGTCAATATAAGGGATGGGATTACATTGGTCCTCTCCATTCTGTGTGTAACTACCCATGCTTTCCGGTGCAAAGAGCCATGTAACAAAGCCATTCAATACCATATGACCGTATTGATCCTCTGAACAACAATTTAGCGGGCTGTTATTAGAAGCACAAGAGCAGAAAATACCCCAATACACACACACATTATTTTTTTTTATTTAACACAAACTGACCAGTAAGAGCTGTCTTAGTTAACTTAGTAACTACAATGAAAATCAAGCACCTAAACAGGATCATGAGTGCTCATATTGATCGCAGGCTCCTGAAAAGAGGCTGTTTAAATCCATATTGTATTTTTGGAATATCTTAAAACTTTTACAGTGTTTACTAGTGTGTGTATTGTGGCTCCATGGTAACTACAGAGTACACCCCTAGCGTAATGTCACTGCAAAGTATCAATACAGTGCTTTCTATGCGTGCATTGTGTGTGTGTGCGGTAGCTGTAATAAATTCTACAGTAAGTGCAATAGAAACTATGCAAGCTGCCAGAGTTGTAAAGAGATGTGGAGAACTCTGGATATCTAATCTAAGAGTTTATTTACAATCGGTACAATATCAGAGACACACAATATAGTATTGTAAATACTAAATAGTAAATAGTAAATAGTATTGTCCTTTCAGGTCTGGCCATCCCTGGATTACAATGTATTATAACTTCTGATGACGGAGCCAGTGGTTTCTGTTTCTCATCATAAGGGACTAATACAGTAACTGCATTTGTCCAGGAAAATGCAATAACATCCTCTGTTAGCCAATCATGAAAACAAATTAAATATCCCCCTTTCATCATCCTCATATCATATTTGTAAAAAAAAGAAAGAAAACTTTCTAAAAACTGAAACCTCGCGCTATGTAATTTTCTCTTGGCTGGAATGTTCCATCGTATGACATTGAACTTACCTCCACAGAGACAAGCATGGAGTGCATGTTTTACTGTTTTCTTGAGCAATAAAAATGCTTATGACATTAATAAATGCAAGATACCATTCGAGGCAAAGCAATAAAATAGAGACAAGCCATAAAGGAAAGTAGGTGGCCGACTCTCTTTAAATCATGTGAATCAATACTGTATTAAAGGGCTCACGTTACACTATTTTCTGCTTTGTTTCATTCACACAGGTTTAACACACATGAAAACACTCTGTTCCACCTTGTGACATCATGTGGTAATACAGGAAGTGCCCCGCTGTGTTTTTAAACTCTTTAATTTCAGCCCTGGAACAGAGAATCTCCACTGAACTAAAGGTAAAATGTAGCTGTTGACTTGAAAACTACCACTTCATGACATCACAAGGTGGAACAGAACATTTTGACTTTTGAATATGTAGATAGACTAATAATAAAGGGTTACTCAAACATGTGTGAATGAAGGAAAACACAACTCCACGTATGTTTTTGAGGAGGTAAGAGAATTATAAGGTGGCTTAAAACTCACAAGAGTCAGTTTTATAATAATAGGACCTTTAATGTTAAAAGAAAAAAGACAAAATGACATGGTGTTTAAGGTTTGCAGTAAGCAGTATATATTAACAACAAGTAACAGACAATGAATACTGCCAATGATCCAAGATGGCGGAAGAATTATTTACTCTACCGCACGTGGGGCTCTGTGAGGTTGGGTGTGAGACAGTAATGGGTGTGTATTGGGAGTTATTCAGTGACAGTCAGGGCAAGGACAGAGCGGGCAGTTTTGTCAGCTAATGTCAAGTGCAGACTCTAAGCTGTATAAGGGTCACATGCGGTCATCTCTGCCTCTCTCTGACCAGCTGTGCCATGCATTAAATTAGATCCTCACACCGTAGCGAGGAGATTTATTTTACATTTTCACACATACACAATTTAATGACTATAATGACACTATTTATAGCAGTAAATCATTTCTACCTTGTTTTCCTCATTACAGGGCCCGTACTGCGCTATTTTCTGATCTATGTTATAATGTTGTTTTCTCATCACAAACATACCTGGAGTTGTGACCACTCTGAGGAAGACCGCTAGTAAGCAGACGAAACTGTCAGCTATGAAAACAAACTCTTTGTCTGAAAGAAGAATCTAATAACATACTTGGAGTTATATTTTGTTTCATTCACACATGTTTAACACGCAAATTCTG